ACAAAAGAGGTAAGTATATATGTGCCAGCATTTTATAAAGCCCACCTCTGTACTGCCACATACTGTATATGCGTATAGCCGGCGGCAAGGGGTTACAGCACAACTGCCTTTTTTTGCTTACGCCTTGTCGGGTTAGAAAGTGGTGGGAAATCTCTCCAAGGGGGACCCAGACTGCAACAAAACACGTTTTCATTACAATGGAGAAGGGTTAGAACCTCCGGGTATTCTAAAGCCTCCTGCTCCAGTAAAGAACATTACCCTTCTATCCAAAAATAAATCTATCCAAAATTAGAAAAAACTAACAGAAATTAGCTTTTGTAAGTTCAGTGTTGCTATCCTATGGTTGGCTGTTACAGGTTACTATAGGGTACTATACATCACAGCAGTCATTACAAATTTAAAATGTAAGTTCACGTTTATTAACAAACCTGTACCCACCTCCTCACTTGTACATATACATTTCCTACATCACGCAACTTGGCTTGCTCAGGTCTAGACCATTCTCAATGGTCTCCATGGCTCAAGCTTTCTCCATTACCCTACACTACTCACTTATCTTATGGCATCACATGGCATTCCATAGAATGTATGGGGGTCTTTACTCCCAGTTTTGTAAATCCACCCAGTAGGGTCATTACTTTCTACACCTTTCGACACCAAGCCTACACAATTTGACACCATTTTTTCCAACATGGAGTATTTGCCAGCACTTTTCACATCACCGATTTGGCCATATTTCTGAATGAATTTGTTTCAGCCATAGCGCCAGAATGTAGAAGTGTCCCACATAATGTAAAAGTGTCCTGACTTTGTGACACACATCAGAAATAGCAAGAAAACAGTTTAATGGCTTTCAAGAATTTAAATGTTTCTAGTGTGGCCAGAAACACATTACAAATGCTTTATTGAATAACCCCCGGTCCCTGGGGAAGTCGGGCAGTGTGAATTAGTAATGTTAGGGCCAGTGCCGACTGACATCAGTTTGAGATGTTTCTGAGATCATTCAGAATTCACTGCAGGTGCAGCTGACACGCTTCAGCTGCTTTTGCATTCCCATAGACTTGTAAGGGGAGAGAGGCCGTTCTGAAGTGAACAAAAGGCCATCAACACTGGCTCTTATATTACAACAAGTGATGAAGAAAGCCTAGTGGGATGGAAGGTGTTTTCCCTAAGAAACATGAAAATGCACTTTTAAAACACCTTTTTCACCTTTAAAGTGGACCTTTACTCCAACATTCCCTTCTAACCCACTGCAACCCTCCACTATTTAAAACAGAATGTACAGTACTTATTTATTTTCTTTCTGTTTATGTTTTTAAGGTGAGAATGATGGATCTCTGCTCCCACCACCTCCTGAGATATTCCTGTCACATAGGCTTCAGGAGTGGGGGCAAAGAGTGGCCAGTAGGCATAGCTGTGCACGTCATTGGGGGCTGGCTGTATGAACCTAGAAGAGGCAGCCAGTTTCCAATGGCTGAGGAGCACCAAGATGGTGTCACGGAGCCAGGGCCGTGTCACCTGTACAGCAGATAGCAGCAGGGCAAGGCTGGATTCTCTTGGAAGGTGAGTATGTATATTGAGGACAATGCTGCATAAAAGTTAAAAAAACAAACCCCGGGAGGAGTGAAGTTCTTCTTTAATATGCCAAAGTAAATCAAGCATGTTGGCTAATGCAGGGCTGGACAAGTCCCAGAAGCCAGTTACCCAATGATCCATAAAAATTACAGCTGGCCTCCTAACTTTGGAGGCTTTCTCTAGTTATTTTCAATAGAGCTGGCTCCTAAAAGAAATCCTGCTGGCTTCGGGATTGGACAGACTTGCTCCTGAATTCCATATATATTTGTCCACCCCTGGGCTAACGTAACTTTTCACCTTTATTTCTTCTGCTGTCTATAGAGATCTCAACGAGGATTCCATTTCCACCAGTTCTAATATATTTGTACTATGTGGTATTTTGTGGACTCACTACATATGGAGTTATATCAAAGAAAGCATCCACTGGATGTGCATGACCTTTAAACGAGTTCACCACTGGCTGGCGGGAATAAGCTAGGACATATCGCATGGGACACCCAGGGCAGGATTTCCCACAAAGCCAATCAAGGCCCGGCCTTGGGGCAGCAGGGAGTAGAGGGGCAGCAGGGGTGTGGAATTCCTATCTCCTGATTCTCAGGACATGCAGGTCTGGGCGCTGGGCGGGTAGTTGTTTTCTACATTTAGCCCTGCTAAATGTAGAGCGGGGAAGCCACCGCTTGTTGTGTACAAGTGATCCCGGAGATGGCGCTGAAATCACTTGTATGCAGCCTGGCAGGTCTGCCATTCTCCATGGGGGGGGGGGTTGGCGGTTAGGGGGGCGCATTGAGGAACCTGGCCTTGGGTTGGGGCAGCAGAGAGAGTAAATCCGGCCTTGGGGACACCAACCTCTCTCCCCTCAGCAGATTTCCTTTTGTACATGCTTTCAGACACTTCAAGAAGGCAAGTTCTGTATAGAAATGACGATTTAAGGGCTCCTGTCATTGCAACATTACTGCTAATGATTATTTATATCTCAAAGGTACTTACTAATATACAAGTGTAGCAAGCTCATTATTATCCTCAGATTTGGACAACAAACTTTGGTAACCTTTCTCAATCTATTCGAGCTTGATTACTGTTTGCTGGTAGTTTTGTCTTTTTTTATATTATTATTTTCTGCTATGGCCTTTTCAAGCAATGTTTTCTCCCAGCAGACTTTGCCTGTAAATGTTTATGGGTCAGACATAATTAATAACCTGCCAACATTTCCCAGCTGTTAAGAAAAGCACGGTTCAGTGTTGTATTACCCCCGAGGCATTTGTGAACTGGGTTTCTACTTCTTATAATCGCAATATAAATAAAAATCCCCTGAAGCCATGTGATATATAAAACAGAATTGAAAACAAATACCCCTTAATCTGGTTTTAAAAAAAGAAGTTTGTACCAAAAGAAAAATAAAATGGTTTGATTTAAATCCCGGATACATAGGAGCCTGCTCAGTTTCATTACTGCTGCACGTTTTTATTGCGTCTGAGAAAATCCAATGCACAGCCCCAGGCAATGTTATGGTAATGTGGACCATGTAACACCCTGTACTGCTCAACCCCGTACTGAACGTCAAATACACAAATCCGGACTTTAGCTGTAAACACTGGAGCTTTATCTCCCATTCTTTCACCTGCATAGAAACAAATTGGTCAAAGGATCGCCGATCTAGGCAATGTCTTTACTTTTGTTCCCTCGTATCATCACAGCTCTGTCCCAGTCACAAGCCTATCCAATAAACCAGTACACAACGATGATGGGCAAAAAAAACATTAACCCACAGCAGCCAGATTTCAGGTTCCGAACAGTGAAACATGACTAATGATTGGCCCTCTTTGTCTCGCTGAATGAGCCCCATGGCATATCGTCTTCACGGCCAAGGACCTCTAGGTTCCATGACCATACCGGTGAGACACAGAAACGTATTATCACATACAACCAGTAGAGCAGAAAGTGCTGGGAATAGGTCCTATAAGTTAAAATAACAACGATGGGGGGAAAAAGCAATAAAAAATAGTGCAAATGCATAAAAAGAGGGAGTGTTTATCACATATGGGAAGTGAGAGGGACTCGCACAACATAAGACAAGTGACAGACTGCTAAACGGCAAGAGAGGAAGAACGAGGAGTGAGAGGGAAATGATGGGAATGAAGAAATAGATGAGACGAGGCATACAAAAAAAGAAATATTTAGAGAGAGAGACTAGGAATACAAAAAATGTATATTATATATTTATGTATAAACATAATATATAGACAGAAGTGGTATCAGCACTCATTTACGTGTATATGCTTTGGTGCTCCACATGTAGAGAACAGTACAGCCAAAGGTATAGTAAGCACTCAAAGGGCTTCCAACAGAGAATGATGAACATAACAAAGTTGCTTTATTACGCCAACGTTTTGAGCGGGCACACAGTGGTGTCCCTGGTCACGCTCAGCAGCCTAGACACACACTCCCAGCAAGTATCTGTCACCCCATCCTCCACCTCCCAGCAATGTTCTGCTATCCCTACCATCACCCTATGCTGCTTTTAAAAGAAATTCAGCACTGCAAT